ACACCCACAACAAATAATGTCCAGTCCAAATACCAATTGTGCTGATATTAAGAAACCTTGATCTAGTGATTACATTTTTCCATCTTTATTAAGAGGAAAGACCAGAAGCAGTTTACATTTACATGAGATGGAAAAGAGTAAACATCTAGATTCTTGGCTCTAGGGCTATGTTACATCTTTCATGCTATGCCATTTTATAGTCCAAAGGTATCTGGACCATCTGTACATTCCATTGAATGTCATGCTAGTCCAGTATTAATGACTTCATGTTAATGAGAACAGAAGACTATATGCTCCAGAGCATTGAAGATAAAGTCTTCAAAGTGTCATAGATTTGTGAAAAGTCAGTGAAATTTGTGGCCTCTGGTAGTGTAGGACATGCTAATATATTCTCTTATTTTCAGGCACATACTGCATCTCTCATTTCTCACAGTTAAGAGGTAGCACAATGCCCCAGAGGTTTCCTTGAATTCTCAAATTCTGGAGGGGGCATATTACTCATATAGGAGTAGTGCTTAGACCCATTTACTGAGTGACATGGAGGGCTAGCTTTGAGGAGGGCCCAGGGGAGAAAAGGGATCTAGGAATTAATGGTTGTAGTCCAGATGTGCTTGTCACATAGACCTTGTGATCTAGTAGATCTCAAGCTATTAGAGGTAACAATGGTGGGAAAAGATGCCACACTGGAGTTCATGGCAAGCCCAGATGTTAGAATCACAAGATAGAACCCAAGAGTTTTGGAGCAAAACCATGTTATCTGCAGCAGAAAATTTAAAACTATTCACAAATCAGCTACTAGCATGCTATTGCATCCTGAGAGAAACAGAGTGCCTGGCCATGGAATAAGTAATCATGTGTCCTCAACTGTTCATTATGAGCTAGATTCTAGAGGGTTCAATGGGCCTTGTAGCAATCTTTAATAACACAGAAGTATTGTATCTATTATTGGGCACAAACAAGGCAGAGGCACAAAGTGTGAAGATCTTTGCATTATATATTTACAAATACCACAGACACATTATCTCCAAAAAGGTGTAATGACTCAGCTAGTTGTCATACAATCTCTGTTAGAACTACCCCAGTGTTGACCCCCTAGGAGCATAAAGAGAATATTGTGATGCAGGGATAAAGGTTATCCAATTGTACTATACAGTTGTGGTATAGATGATAATGTGTCCTCCAAAATTCATGTTGAAACATAATCACCAATGCAAAAGTCTTAAGAGATATGGCCTTTTGGAGGAGCTTAAGTCACCTTCTTCATAAGTGGAACCTATCATCATAAACAGGATTAGCATCCTTATGAAAGGGCTTAATGTAAAAGGGAGTATTTTCTTGCCCTTCTGCTGTCTGCCCTGTGAGGACACAACAATGAGGTACCATTGGCAAGCAGTGAGCAGCCCTAACCAGGCACTGAACTTGCTAGAATTTTGATCTTGGACTTCTCAGCCTCCAGAACTGTAAGAAACAAATTTCTGTTTTTTTTTTTAAATAAATTATCCAGTCTAAGGTATTTTGTTACAGCAGCAAAAATAGGCTAAGAGAAACTCTCATGCACTTAAGCTGACAATTGCTGCTGCTATCAAGTGTTCAGTTTGCCAAGCAACGCTCTCCAACTTGATATGGCACCATCCTTTGAGAACACCAGCCAGCCACTTAGTAGAAAGTTATTATTGAACCCCTTCTTTTCTCCTACAGCCAGCAATTCATCTTGACTAAAATTGTTGGATATATCAGCAATCTGTTTGGCTTTTCTGCCTTTAGGGCTCAAACATCACTACTATTCAAGCTTACAGAATGTTCAGTTAAAAAATATAGAAAACTGCCTAACATTGAATAAGACCACGGAACCAATAGGGCCACCACAGGACCATGGAATCCACTGTTGCTATCACATACCTAGGCCATGTAGAAGCTGCTATCACATACATATCACAGGCCATGTAGAAGCTGCTGGCCTGATAGAGTGATGGCCTCTAGAGGCATGGCTGAAGTTCCAGTTTGGTAACCATAACCTGAAACAAATGGGGCTCCATCTCTCATGGTGGAGTATATACTCTAAATTGTTGATGACTTTGATGTTTCTGTGTTCCAGTGAATGGAATGCCTGGATGTGGGTGGAATACATGAATATAGGATCCAAGGGGTTGAATTTTGATGGGCCACAATTGTCATCTCAGTGATGAAATTGGGAAACGTGTGCTTCCTAATTCATTAATTCTTTGCACTTAAGGTCTAGAAGTCTGTGCTTCCTAACCCTTTAGTTCTTTGTACTTAAGGTCTAGAAGTCCTGGTACTCAGAGAAGGAATACTTTTACCACAGGATAGAGTAAGAATCTATTTAAACTTCAAGTTATGACTGCCTTCACGTATCTTTAGTTCCTTTGTGTCAATAAATGAACAGTGAAGGAAAGAAGCTAGCATCATATTGGGGATGATAGAACTTGAGTGTGAGAATGAAATAAGGCTGCAATGTCACAATGAAAAGAAGAAATTATGTGTTGAACACTGAATTATTTCACCTGGAAAGCTAGTGGTAGACCTCTGCCCAGTTTTTGTGGTAAGTGGAAAAATTCAGCCAAGGCTGAAGAAGTGCATGTTGGTTAGGAGCCCACACCCTCAGGGATGAGGTCTGTATAACCCCATCAGATAAGCTATGTAAATCAGCAGAAGTACTAATGAACATTAAATAAAGAAGGTAGATGATGAACATCAGTTGTAGCCCAGAGGCCAGCTTTAGTGGCAGAAATTGTAGCTTTTCTTACTAACATACCATTCATGAATACCTTAGGAAGAGACCAATCAAAATTCTGGAAGACCTGAACTTGGATGAAGTTGAAACGTTGAATTTGAGCACTGTAAGGGGTTGGACGATAGTGGATGCTGGAATACATTATCCAGATTCTCTTTGAGATGGAGAAATTCATTCTCCCAGCTTCTTGGACTGTTGATTGCTTAGGCTTCAAACATGTATCCCTTTCTTAGAATTTCCTTGGCCTCATTCAAGATTATACCTCCTCCTCAGGGAAGCCTGTATCTAAGCCCTTATGAGCACAGAGACATGAAGATCTGGTTCACTTGCTTTTATTCTCTAAGTGGACAACTTGACTTCACAGCTATCCAGAGGATCAGCTGAGTTTGTTTGAACTGAGAATCTGCATCACAGTTCAAATTCTCCCAATGCCAAATCTTGCTTCCCTCATTTCTGACAGGTATTACAAACAATACTCCCCAGCATACCCTCTGGATACAAATCTTAGTGTTTCAGAGTCTGTTTTCTAGGAAATCTGACCTGTGGAGGTCACTGATTTCATAGAGCTTATAACTGGTTTTAATAATAAGTGGGTATGGATACCAAAAATGTAAACAAAAAATCAAAATAATTTCAGAAAGTGATAGATGGTGCTATGAAACAGAACAGTTCATAATAGATGGAGAAAGTCATTGAATATGAAGAGCTGAGCGATGAGATGGAAGTAGGGGAAGTAGTTTGAATCCTAGGAGCAGGTTAATCTGGCTAGAGCACAGAGAATGTGGGAGAGCATGAGAGGATGTTAGAGCAGTAGATAAAGGGCAGATTATTAGGAGCTCTATAAACCATGGTTGAGGTGTTTGGAAGAGAATATTTTAAGCAGAGGAGTGCTATGATATGAATGATCCCTCAAAAATATAATGCTGATCACTTTAGTAAAAGAGAATTTCCTAAAGCTATCTAAAATTTCACTCTTACTTTTATCTTTTCCAACATTCTATATCCCTTTTTTCTGCATTATTTTTTCTTATACTTATCACTAGTATATAGTCTATGCTGCTCCCTTACTAGAATGGAAATTTTCTTAAGGCAGGATTTTTTTTCTCTGTTCAATCATTCCTCTACCCCCAGAACCTAAAAGAGTGCCTATTACTATCGCATACTACATGCAAAATAAATATGTATTAAATGAAAAAGCAAAAAAATATAAATAACTACTATATAGATAATGAACAGGGGAGGAGGAAAGAGCCTAGAGGCAAAGTGAGTATTATGAGAGTAGAGCATTGGTCCAAATGAGAGAAGACAATGACATGTATTAAAGCTTTAGTTTTGGAGACAAAGAGAATTTGGCTCATTTCAGTTAGGTTTGTGAGTAGAGCACTTGGTGATAGATTGAAGATCTATTAAATAGAGAGACAAAATCTATTAAATAGAAAGAAGAAAACCAAGGATAACTGGCCTGAGCAACTCAGTAGATGTTGGTACCATTAACAGAGATTGGGAAGATTGGTGGAAAAGAAGACCTGGAGTGTGTATATGTGACTGGAGAAGGTATTTTCTGCAGCACAAAGAACAGGGAATTGGCACCTCTGTTTTTATGCTCACAGTGCGCTAGAAATCATAAGACTCAAGGGAAGAAACTTGATCACAAAGGGCTTCTTAAGCAGAATGTATAAGTACTCACTCTTTAATGGTGTGTCTGGTTATTAAAAACACTGGGACATTGGGTGAGAGAGTGGAGGTAGCAGGGATCACTTAAGTTCAGTGACCAAAAAGGGGTTAGTCATGGAATGATCACTTGTTACCATTTCAGGGTCAGGGGAAACCTGTTATCTAATCTCAATGGAATAGTAATGTAACCTCAAGTGTGTTTATCACTTAAGCAATTAAAATCTTGAACCATCTTCAGATTTTGTATATTACAGTGTTTTAAATATGCACCTATACCAGGCATTATAATCAAACTATCAAAATCACGTTATCAACAATATTGAATGCATCTGATAGATCCAAATGTGACAGAAGTGGCAGCCAATGGGGTTAATTAGAGAATATGTCGTCAACTGCTGAAATGGCAGTATTCTCCTTTCCAAAAAGAGACCTTTTTCTAATCATTATGCAAAATAATGGTATTCCAAAAGCTGCTGGTAAGTGATTGGTAAAGAAGCCAACAACAAAAACTCCAAAACCTGTATGATTAACTAATATTGGAAAACTCAGCATCCTCTTTCTCTTTTATTTACAGAATGTAGAAAGCCTGAAAAAATCCTGATGCTCGTGCTATACATCATACCAATTAAGTCAGACCTTCTGGGGGTCAAACCAAGGCATCAGAATTAAAAAAAAAAATCTTCAGGTGAATTTAATGTGTAGCTAACACTGATAACTGTTGCATAAGAGATTCTTGAGGCACATTTGTGATTAAAGAGTCTTAGGGGTAGTGCAGTAAAATATCTGTTTTTTTTGTTCCCACAGTTTGCAAAATAATGTTGTTCATTCTTTGTGTATCATTTACAGTATCTCAAGTAATACTAGTATTGCATTGATATATTCTGAGAATATGTCTTTAAATAATTTAAACATAACCTGAACTTTCCTAGTATATAAATCTGAAAGGCTAAACATCATATCTCATTGTTTTATTCCATTTGCATTTCCTTGTTTATTAGTGAGGTGAACATCTTTTCAAATGCTTCCTTAAAGGTCAGAAAGCTTTCAGTGTTGCTGTTTGTGATTATGGATAATTCAAACAAGGGATTAGGAGAATAAGGTTCAGTACATGGAGGAGAGGGAAGCTGGTGATCTGGGGAAATTAGTCATTTGGACATGTAGTCCTGGGTTTTTCACTGATACCAGTGTGGCACTGTGCTTCTCCCATGAAAATTTAGAAAGGCGGTGATGTTAAACAGCTTGGTCTCATATTCATCTGTGTAGCCTAAAATATTAGCACAGTGCATGTCAGGTTCTCCAAAAACATTTGGTGAATGAACTGTAAATGCCATGCATTCCTGGACCTCAATAGGGTTTCATGGACACTGCATTAGTTTGCCAGGGCTGCCATAGCATAGTGCTACTGCCTGGGTGGCTTTAACAACACAATTCATTTTCCTACCATTTTGGAGGCTAGAAGCTCAAGATCAAGGTGTTGGTAGAGTTGTTTTTTTCTAATACTTCTCTTCTTGACTTATAGATGGCCATCTTCTTCCTGTGTCTTCCCATGTTCTTTTCTCTCAGTGTATCTGTGTTCTCATTTCCTCTACTTACAAGAATAACAGTCATATTGAATGGGCCCACACCAGTGACCTCCTTTTAGTTTAATTAGCTCTTTAAATACTCTTTAAAGGTCCCAAATATAATCACATGCTGAGATGCTGGGGTTAGGGCTTCCACATTCTACTTAGGAATTTTGAATGAAACACAATTCAGCCTGTGACACTCTCCAGGCAATCATATTTCCAAGTGGTCTAAAGAGGTGGCTTTGGAGTTGTATACAAATTGCCTTGAGTTGTGTATCTAGCCTGAACTAAAACTTTTTTCTTCCTCCCTATCAGCTTTTTTGTGTGTGTGTGTGTGTGTGCTCTGGATATGTGTGTCCCAGAGAGAGAGAGAGAGAGAGCGAGAGAGAGAGAGAGAGAGAGCGAGAGAGAGAGAGAGACACTGTTGGAAAGGAGTCTTCTAAATAAGTTAGATTATTGGAATATTCTAACAGGACCCTGGTATGCACAGGCATTAATATAGGTGAGAGGCTGGTCATATTTCTCCTCTCTCATTTAGTTATCTTGGAGAATTACATCTTCATTAAATCTTCATTCACAGTTTAGAACTTCGAAAAAGGTTCTTGGAGATACCTGGCAAATGTAGGACTGATGATTGTCTTGCCTCAAGACTGACTACAGATATAGTTTGTTCTTAATATTGCTTCCTCTATGCCACTGTAAAGAGGTAGAATTTGAGGCAAAAGGGCTTCAAAATACTGTGACAAATTCCTTAGAAAGTAGAGATTTTTTTTGTACTTTAGGCTCTAGGGTACATGTGTACTTTCTGTATCCTGCAGGATTGTTGCATAAGTACATACATGCCATGGTGGTTTGCTCTCTCTATCCCCCATCCCCTCATTGCCTACTTCAGGCATTTCTCCCAGTGTTATCCCTCCCCATCCTCCCCGCCCCCATCCCACCTAGCCCTGTGAGTGTTGTTCCTTTCCCTGTGCCCAAGTGTTCTCATTGTTCATCACTGGCCTATGAGTAAAAACATGTGGTGTTTGGTTTTCTGTTCTTGTGTCAGTTTGCTGAGAATGATGGTTTCTAGATTGATCCATGTCTCTACAAAGGACAGGAACTCATCATTTTTTATGGCTGCATAGTATTCTATGGTGTAGATGTGCCACATTTACTTTGTCCAGTCTATCAACCATGGCCATTTGTGTTGGTTCCAGGTCTTTGCTATTGTAAACAGTGCCACAATGAACATACATGTACACGTGTCTTTATAATAGTAAAAATTATAATCCTTTGGGTGTATACCCAGTAATGGGATTGCTGGGTCAAATGGAATTTCTATTTCTAGGTCCTTGAGGAATTGCCACACTGCCTTCCACAATGGTTGCACTAATTTACACTCCCACCAACAGTGTAAAAGTGTTCCTTTTTCTCCACATCTTCTCCAGCATCTGCTGTCTCCAGATTTTTTAATGATCGCCATTCTAACTGGCATGAGATGGTATCTCAATGTGGTTTTGATTTGCATTTCTCTAATTACCAATGATGATGGGCATTTTTGCATATGTTTTGGGTGAATGATATGAACAGACACTTTTCAAAAGAGATTATTTTCAGAACTCCACTTATTTCTTGAGCTATTGTTTGCTCACTGAGAATTCCAGCAGTGTTTTCTCCCATCTTAAGTGTTTCTAATCATTTCCATTTCCTTTGTATTGCTGAGTTATTTTTACCTTAGTTTAAATGAAACAATTAAAAACAAAATATAAGAGAAGTCACATAGCATAATATGTGGAACCACTCTGTTTCTTACTTATTGAGTTTTCTGTCCATTGGGAAGACATGTTGAATTGCTAATGTTTTCTTCTCATTTAGATTAAGAGATTTAGGACCTGCCAATATATTCAAGTATTTTGTATCTTTCTTTGCAGTTCTCAGCCACTTGAAGAGAATAGGTACATTTTCATTTTCATTAAAGTGGAACAGAGGAGGTGGTAAATCAATTCAGACCCCCCAACCCCATCCTGTGCGACTAAATTTCATACTACAATAAAAAGATAACAATTGCAGTGTTTCATTAAATTTCATATATCATAATTACCAGATTTATTTGCTAGAAAATTAAACCTGTCATACTTATTGAAACTTAGTTGCCAATATGTATTTCATGCATTTTTATATGACAAAAGAAACAAAAATACCTATAAGCTAAAGATTTCATAAAACATCATACTTAGGGAAAATGATTGGAGAAGAAATCTATTCTATGTGTGATCTTGTTTTTCTCGCTACTAAGGAATGTAAGTGCAGTTAACATTGTCTCTATAGTAAGGACAATTTCACTTCTGTAGTAATATTTTTCTAACAATGAATATAGGTACTCTGAAGACATACAATATCCCAGTTATATGTATCATTTATCTATTTATACATTTATCTATTTACACTAGTGAATTCTACCTCAGCTGCCTTAGCTATTTTAATGATTAGAAGCTACAGTGCATATTTTGGGTATTTGGGGTGGACTCTTTAGAAAAGTTTTACTTCTGGATCAACTTCTCAAGGTGAGGGTGCTTGATGAAATAATTCAAGCTAAAAAATGGGTATAATAATTGCATATTGAAATTGTGGTGACAAGTAATTGTATTAATATATTAATAAAATATATAGGTACAACACACTAAGGGCTTGGCAATTGATATAACCAAGGTTGTAGGGGAAGATTGTTTCAAGAACACTTGCATGATAGCTGGAACAAGGAAGTAGAATGTAACTGGTATAATGAGAAGCTTTGACTTATTGAAGTATGAAAAAGAAACAGTTTGATCATCCCAGTAACTATACTATCTGTGTGCTGCAGAATTCCTGTTTTACTCTGGAGGATGGCTCCCTTAACAACCCCAATCAATCCTATAATTATCAGTCACTATAGATTTTGTTAATACTGAAGACTCAGTTACATTTATTCAGACAAGTGGTTAGTCATAATCTCTGTGCTGGCTCATTGTTGATAACCCTACAGTAGCACATTTGACACCCAGGGAAGGTAGTTTTATTTGTTTGTTTGATCATCTCTTTCTTCCATACAGAAAAGCCATATTCAGTAATAATCATAAAATAAAATAAATAATATTATTGGCCAGAAAATAAGTAAGATTTACTATTTAGCTTCATATATATAATCATACCAGTAAAAATTTTAACTACAAATAACTATAAAAGTACAAAAAGGAAAAAGCTAATGGTTTGATACTGTTCAATTATACTGATAAATCTTTTGAAAAAGGAGAAAAAACTTGTACCTTAATATTGGGTTGTCACAGCAATGAATAATAAAATTGCAGTTTCTGTTTTAAGACATTTTTACAAATTTTTCAATGATTTTGTGATAATTATTCTCTTTTTTGGACATATGTGTTCAGTAAGCAGCATATATAGATTCAATCCATCTTTACTTGTACTTCATTAACATTTTTAATTAATTTTAATTTTTAAAAAAGTTTCATTTTCATTAAGCAACAGATATTTCAATTATTAGAAAAAGTTTTAAATATAAGGATACACCTGACAGAGATTTGTAAAAATGTTATTCATAATAAATTCTTGAAATTTCAACATGTATTTAATCCCAGGTTTAATTGTATTAGCTTTCAAATGTCTGTGCAATGGAAAAAAAAATAAACACAGTCAAAATCCTCCAAACAGTCACAGAGCATGGCAGAATTGAATTAACTCAGGTTGTATCTCTTTGTCTTTATGATCCTTGTGCTTTTAACTGTTTTAAGTTGGAATTGCATTGTCCTTCATGGGTTGGACTTACAGACTACACCCAAAGTAAGCCTGAATTATATTGAATTATTTGCATCCTTTTGCAAACTTACTCTATAAATAAACATATGTGACAGTCTTGTGTGTTGGAACACTTACTGTATGACTGAAAGTTTCCCCAAATTAACTCTGATGTACGTTATTTTTATTTAAGGAAAAATAATAGCGTGCAAATTTGAATATTACACATATATTATTCAAAGTCACCTGTAATTGAAACAAATGTAAAATTAGAACAAAACATTTTGTTTTGTTGTATTTTGTTTTCAGGAAAGAGAATTGATCACTGATATTATTGCTGATATATGCT